CGAGTGTTCGAAATACCGAATGTAGTAGATAACGAGGCGTGCCCTCGCGCTAGCCAGCTGTTTCGCCGACACCTCGATGCTCGCCGCTGCTTTCTAGGCGCTCGTTCTTTCGCTTGTTTCTGGCGCATGTTAGCCGACTTAGCTTTTATTTGTGGTTTTGTGTCTGTCTAGCCTTTGTTTTCATTCGTGACAATATGACATTCGTGCTTGGTGTGATGCATGCACCCCTCGATGGCTTAAATATTCTGACCATATACGCTCCGTGCGGGAACTATAGGGGGCGCTTTGAAAAACACGCGTAGCGCCGCTAGCGGAGGAGCTGGCGTTCGGCAGTGAGGCGCGCTCAGCAGCCTGTGGCGCCTCTTCGCGTGCGAAGCTGTGGCGGCGGAAGCGCGCTCGGATGGAACTTTGCTTTTTGAGCCGATAAGCTGAGGGTGACGTTGCATGAGTGCTGGGGCAGATTTAAGAAGGACATCTAGCTGTTCTCCGCTTCTTATATACTGAGTTTGAGTCGTCATTAGGGGAAATTTCTTTAGTTGCGATCAAAATAGGGGTTTGAGCAATTTTCCGAAAAGCAAGGCGGCCGCCACCATAATTGCTCTCAGTGGGAAGTTTGTTTCGCTCGTCGCCGTAAACGTAGGACTGCTGGGACGATGATATTTGGAGGCAAGTGAGATATTCACTAAGTTTGTGCACGAAGTGGGCCAAGTTTTATGAAGACGGCAGGTGTGAAAGTTGTGGTTCGAACGAATAAAGGAATAAAGCTGTCAGGAATATCCAATATTGGACCCAAAATGTTGTGTTATGACCGGGCTGTGCGAAGGGAAGATTTGGACACACAGGTGTTTGGACATGACCGTAACTTCACACAACAGTTATAATTCCAAAAATAGGTGGCATAGGGAAACCAAGTGGAAATTTGATTTGGGCGGCGTAACTGAATAAGAAACGGTTTTGACCGTGAAAGGGCTGTCAAAAGAATACCACTCACCGTGGGAGATGGAGACTTTACAGGTAGGAAGGAACTAGCGCTTTGTACTTCCAATTGAAACAACGTTACGAAAGGTGGTTTCAAAACCGAGAAAACCAAGTTTCTGGCCAACACACGGTTTGGCTGTCAAAGGCTTTTGCGGTCAGCTGTTGTGTAGTAATCTGGTTGTGCGAGGTGCTGATTTTCGGCACACAGGTACTTTGACAACCTAACTTGACAAAACACTTATTATACCTAAACGAGGTGGCATAGTTTAACCAGGTGGAAATATTTTTCGGCAGCGTAACTAAATGGGAGCCGGTAGGAATGGGCAAAATACATGCAAATATGTACCGAAATACAAATACAAAATACTTCTTCAAAAATGTATTTAATTACAAATATAATTACATTTCCAAAAAAGCGTTTAAGTACAAGATACAAATACAACCAGATGTATTTGGTCTCATCCAAATACCTTTCCAAATACATTCCTCAGAATTTGCGTCAGCGACTTCAGGGCACCTGCAACGGGTTTCTGGGTATCTCATTTTAATTTTGCATCGCACACTCGGGAGTTAGTGTGCGAGGCTCTAGTAACGTAATAGAAATATAATCACAAAAAAAATGTAATCAGCTTGGACGTAATAAGTGAAGAAAGTACAGAGCTTCAAGCAAATTTTTTGTCGATTACATTTTGGTATAGGCCAACAAAGAACCGGGACGACCAAGGCGTGCAGCACTAGCCAGAGAATTGTGTATTGTTGCATCTCGCAAAAGGTTCGAAAATCCGGACGACCCGCGCATTTAGTACGTTCCAGACAAAAATATGGATAAAATTCAGGCTGGAAAGCATCACAAGTTGTCACAGGCACTTATTTAGCCAGTCTGCCTGTGAACGTTGATTTCGTCTCTATTCTTGCCCTGGACAAGCGCCGTAATCACAAAGTCACTAAACGCTTGTGCTTGGTTAAGAGACACCGCATTCGGTGCAGAAGGTAGTTTTCACCTGCTCTGGACGTCTTAGGATGAGCAAAATGAGTCGTGACAATAAATTTGAGGGATGTATTTTCGCCCACAAAATTGTATTGAATTACAATTGTATTTGAAACACCCACGTTTTAGTATTTAAATACACGCGTCAAATACATTACCCAATTTGTAATTAAATACAAATGCAAAATACACAAAGTATTTGAAATACGTATTTCAAATACTTGTATCTGAAATACTGCCCATCCCTGGGAACCGGTTTTGACCGTCAAAGGCTGTCAAGGTAATGGGGAATTGTAGTAGACCGTTCCCGCAGCCCGCTAAGCACCCGGATAGCGCTCCGTAATCCGCCACAAGACCTTGAACTATGCAGATAAGGCTGGCGGCGCGCATGCGCAGCTGGGGCGTTTTCTTCAGGGATACCGTAGCGGAGGAGAAAAACGTTCTACTACAATTCCCTAATACCACTCATCGTGGGAGGTGCACACTTTACAGGTAGGAAGGGACCAGTGGACGGTACTTCCAGTTCGAACAACTTTGCGATAGGTGGCTCTAAAGCCAAGAAAAAAAATTGTTGTCTACAAGGCTCGGTGTGTCAGCGTTTCCACATCCGAAAGGAGGCTGATCAAGAAAGAAAGCACACCACATAAACTTCCATACTCGAACATCGATTGTCCAGTGTTTCTAACTTTCATTGTAGTTCTCCTTAGATTCATATTTGTCACTTTCTGTACCGTCCAAATCTTTCTTCATGAAGTACAGACTGCATGCCATACTGCATGGTCCGGAAATATCATCGACACGTACGATGGGGACGAAACTTCTTTGGAGGGCATTCCTTCAACAAAATTCGCACTGCATACCCGCGAGTGTGGGGTGGCATTTCAGTTCGAGCTGAGATATGTAAGCGTTACTGGTACGAAAACAAACGCAGAGCGCAAAGCGGCAGTGTAGAATATGTCAGCCGTGCCGACACAGTGGCATACATGATCGGGAGACCGAATTTCTCGCGTGGTAGGGCACGGGTCCATCGTTGTCGCTGTCCCACAAAACATCGGCGAGGTGAAAAACTGTGAAACTTCGTCCCCACGAGATACGACGCATAACTATTGGAGCACTCAACGACGCAGCAGTTCATGCTGTCAACCCAGCGCAACCGCACCGCTCCGACTTCAATGCGTACCAATGTGCGCGGCGTGGTTTCGTTTCGCTGGGGCTCTCACTGCCTACCTCCGGTAACGGCCGCGCGGCGGCGCGCCGGTCGCGTCTCACGGAGTGCATAACGGAGTTCAAATTTCCTAACAAACTATGCGGTATGTGTGACAGGATCTGATGGCCCTAATAATAGTAATGCGTTACTTGTGTAGTCATTCAGGAACGTCTTCAATTATCACCTTATGTATAGATAAATGTCTTGCGTTTCCAGAATTTCGAAAAGAATGACACGCTCGTATAAGAGTAGTTAAGTTGCGATCCTCTTAAAAGCAAAATAAATAGAATAGTGTATACCCTATTTTGTAAGCCCTTAAATCATAGAACACGGTAGAACATTTCATCAAACTATTATATGTCAAGGCCATGAAATAAACATTACACACTGAACCACCAATGAATATAGAAATGCCATTTCTACTCAGGGCAACCGGCGACACTGTTGTTAAGTTACCAAGACGATGTATAGCATATAACTATCGTTAATGGAAACACCAGTAATTAGCGCTGGCTGTTTTATTAGAAGCATGTGTGCGCTGCAAAGAAAAAAGGAATCCCACTTTAGGGAAATTTATACCGCCAGCAACATACCACACACACTTCCGTAACTAAAAAAACGATCAATGAGTAAAAATGTCAACAATCTATTCCACCAAGGCGTTCGAAAAAGTCGTTATGAATTTTAATCTGATTAATAAATAACTTTGAAGATAAGATCATTTAGCAGCTTAAAATTTCCGAATGAACACTTACAAATATTTCCATCCACATTTCGCGGAAATAAAGCTGGGCTTATTTACATAAAAAAAATGAAAGCCGTTTACAACTCCCTGTAACGCCGAATTTGAGCGCAGCTCTTGAGGAGGAGGAGGGAAGGGTACTGGGGGATCAGTTGACCTCGGAAAGGGGGGGGGGGGTCACGTGACCTCGGGGTTCGCGTGACCTGGGAGATCACGTGACCTCAGGGAGAGGGGTCACGTGACGATGACGTCATCAGTGATGATGACGATGACGATACGGATGCCGATTACGTCATTGGCATCCGCATCGCCATCGTCATCACGATTGATGACGTCATCAGTGGCCTCACTGATGACGTCATCGGCATCGGCATCGTCATCATCACTGATGACGCCATCGTCACGTGACCCCCCAGGTGACGTGACCCCCCCCCCCCCCCCCCCTAGGTCCTCCCGAAGGAACCCGAGGTCCTTCCGAAGTCCTCCCGAAGGAACCCGAGGTGCTTCCGAGGTCCTCCCAAAGGGACCCGAGGTCCTGGGGGGGGGGGGGGGGGGGGGTCACGTGACGATGACGATGCGGATGCCGGTGAAGTCATTGGCATCCGCATCGCCATCGTCATCGTCACTGATGACGTCATCGTCACGTGACTCCCCCCCCCCCTAGGTCCTCCCGAAGGAACCCGAGGTCCTCCCGAAGGAGCCCGAGGTCCTCCCGAGGCCCTCCCGAAGGAACCCGAGGTCCTTCCGAGGTCCTCCCGAAGGAACCCGAGGCCCTCCCGAAGGACCTCGGGTTCTTTCGGGAGGACCTCGGGAGGACCTCGGGTTCCTTCGGGAAAATTTACCCATAATGCACCGCGCGGTTACGCCGACGGCGACGGCGACGGCGACGGCGACGGCGACGCCGCTTAAGCCGGAAACGGGCGCCTAAGAGCTGCGCTCTAAAAAAAAAATAGATCTAATGCATGTTACCGTTAGAATGATATACCAATATTTGCCTCAGGTACGCAAGAAGTGTTCGTAAAATCTCCAAAACCTAGTTTAAAATGCACGAGAACGCTTTTATTTTTTTAATTTTTTTGTTGCAGGTACCGCTGCCTCGTGGCTCCCGGGCGTTTGGGCCGCGGGGCGCCTGCCAAGGAGGTCTGCAAAGCTGTCCTGGAGCAAGTTAAGCCTTCTTTGGCCGAGGCCTACCAGCTGGGAACCAGCAAGGTAAGCCTGACATATCTGTCTCCACGAAGAAATATGTCACCTCGAAACGATTTGTTCGTTCCACAGTTTTATTGGGAATGTATTGATTAGAACAACACTGTTTCTGTCAATCGATAGTTTTAGGGAATAGCGTACCAGACGACCACTGCGGCTGTGGTCAGTGAAACTACATGTCACTGGACCTACTTGCTCCTCTAAAATATCCGGATGATAAGGATTCTAGCCTCATGACAACATCCTAAATGTGAAAAAAGTGCTGCATTTCAATAGAATGTAAAACGTCATCGAGTTGGAACGCCTCTCTCTTCCTTACACTCATCAGAGTTTCAGAAAGAATAGAAATATCAGATGCCTACTTTACAAGAGGAGAAAGATTACCCAGGTTACCATATTTTTAAACGTGGCACTTCTTTAATAACACTATCTAAAGTGAAAATGATGTCGTAAGTGACATAGAATGGAAACATGGACATCCATGGGATTATCGCTTTTTTACGTGAAATCAGTCTGCGTGTGTACGGCTGCAGACGGCAACTAAAACGTATCTCATTGACTTGATTTTCTTTGGTTGAGTTTTGGGTGTTTGAAACATATCTTTGCAAGAGAGTATTTAATTTATATCTGGTAATAACCTTTGAGTGAGACGGCTTGGCGGCTGAACACTTTATAAGGTGCACTAGACTATCTGGTGTATAAGGTCTAAGGCCTCTGAGTAAAGCTCTTGATATTGTGTTCAGGTTTTCGTGCGGGAGGCTTTGGAACAAGCACTGGAGCAGGAGCGAGTGTCCCTGCTGAGGTCTTCCATCGTGGTACTGCAGCGTCACGTGCGAGGCTACCTGGCACGCAGGCACTACACCGCTATGCGGTCCTCCGCTCTTCGTATTCAGACCACGTACCGGGGCTACGCGGCCAGGTGAGAAGAAACTTTATCCCGATGAACAAACTTGTTGCAATTTAAGTTTGTCATTTAGAAAGTAAGGCATTTATATGAAACAATCCCGCCAAATTGGCACCGATAAGGTCGAGATATGTTCAATCTAGCTCTTTGCTCATTGACATAGCTGAGGAGCGTACAAAACTGACGTCTGCAAAGCTAGTAGAAAGGCCAGTCGTTAAATACTTGTTCACATAAACTGCGTGCGAAAGGCACGAGTATTGTTTTGATTTTCGATTAGAGAGCTCTACCATTGACGTTATTCTTAAACTTCTTCTCTCCCAGGCGAAAGTACCGGATGATACGCCGCGGAGTCATCCGGGCACAAGCAAACTACCGCATGTTGCGCCAAAAGCGGGAATATGACAAGGTAATTCAAGTTCACTCGTGGTTTAAGATGGCGACACCTGTGGAGGTCAACAAGAAGCACTTTAGAGCTTAATCAAGAGCATCGTGGTCAACGGGCCGAGGATCCTTAAGGGGCTTTTTTTGACCAATGACCTCCGTCACAAATTGTCATGGACCATCCAAACTTATAGTTCCCGCAGTGACAAGCTCTTTAAAAAAAGCTCATGCTTGTAGAAAGAAGACTTGATACATATTCCAGGCTTTACAAGCATGTAGAGTTCATTTTGTGCACTCGTTAGCCAAAGCGACACACCAATATATTCTATTTCCAGATCAAGGCGATCCTGGCACGCAAGCGGGAAGCAGACCGACTCGCTCTCGAGCGTGCCAAAGAACGGATGGTCCGCGACGAACGAGCATCTAGGGCGGTGGCCGGTGTCAATCATCTGGAGATTCCGGCCGAGCTGGCTTTCATCCTGAGCAAACTGGACGACTGGCCCGGTTGTCCAGGCGCAGTGGCCAGAGCTCCGGCCGCAGCTGGAGCCGTGGTGGTGTCGCCGACGATCAGCGTGCCGCGGCAGCTTCCAGGCGACGTGGATCAGCACGCCTTCAGCAAGTTCACCAGCATCTATTTCAAGTCACACGTGTGGGGCATGAAGAGGGAGCCCATCAGGACCCCGTTCCTGGCGAAGGCGTCCGACGCGCAGCACCAGGAGTCTCTGGCACTCTTCAAACTTGTGAGTGTGTTGGCGATGTGTCTTGCTCTTTCTATTCGGGATTTTCTACAGCTTTCAATCACGGCCGTCACTGATAAAAAAGTTATCGTATAACTTAGGGGCCAGATGTATACACGTATAGACGACTCTTCAGATTTCTGAAAAGTGTGCTCGGGCTGGATGTACAGCGCCTGAACGCCTGCTGTTAACGCTGTAGAACAAACTATTTCGCCAAGTCAGCGCCATTGCCCAGCTGTGTAACCCTCTGACAACTTGCGTGGTTGCTAGTATGTTAAAAAACCGAACTGCGTCATATGACGCAATAAAATCCTTACCTGAGTGACATGGAACAGCCCAGAAAGATTCTTCCTGAAATTTCGTTCTAGCCCCCTTGTCCCGAGCCCAACCTAACTATCAATGGTGACATCACACAGCTTCTCTACAAAGTGACATGCATACACGAGCATAAAGAAGGCAACGGTAAATTGATTCCTACAAATTTCACTAATGAACTATATCCTTCGGCTGAGGAATTGCGTGCTCTATGTGATTTATTCTCCATCACTGCCATTAGAGCAGAACGTTTGAAGCTTCTAACTTTTGAACGAGGGGTTATCTATCAGGACTGACTTCTTTATTTCTTGCCTATGTTGCCCGTGATCACACGACTCTGCGCGGTGAAATATTAGTTGTGAAAAGTGTGTAGCGAACGAGGATGGTCCTTCTGTGGCCACGTCCTGACGTGTTCAGATCCTGCGGTTCATGAACGACGGCCACCTGAGCGGGCGGCGGGAGCGAGTACTTGGCGACTACGTGGTCCAACGGGGTCTTCAGGAGCGTCCGATGCGCGACGAGCTCCTCTGCCAGCTTTGCAACCAGACCTGGCAGAACGACAACGAGGTGAACAGGCAGCGGGCCTGGCTGCTCATGGCCAACTGCCTCAGCTGCTTCGCGCCGTCCTCCCAGCTGTACAAGTACCTGCTCAAGTGAGTGCGGAAACCTGCTTGGTCGTCGCTTGCAGCTTTTGAAAGAAAGATAATGTCTTTAACTTGTCTTACTTTCAGTAAGCGCCTGCTGACTGTCGTTAACTCGGGGACAGATTTCTGAGATAACAAAGTCAATGCAACGCAAGCGTACACTTTTTTTCTTCTGAATTGCTACATAAATTTGTCCTTGAGTCGTTGGTGTCTTGAAAGTGCGCGCAGTCAGGATAGATCAAAATACCTACTTGGTGTCTTAGAGCTGGAGGCACTCCGGTGGCCCGTTTTCTTTCTGGTTCTCCTCTTGTGATGTCGCAGCTATTAGAATGTGCATTTAGGCGAGCTGCGACCTTTGTGTTGTCGTAGCTAGTGCAGATCTCATGTACTTGCACGGGGCGTTTTTGGCTGAAAAAGAGTGAGCTCCATAGAGCGGAAAAGCCCAGTGCAAAACTCAGTTGAACTAGGCATTCGGCAGTAAAGAACAAAAGTACCAACTTTTTTTTTTTCATCTTTTAGAAAACAATAAACAAAAAGTTTGCAGAGGGCTATTATTTAGGTTAGGAGCTCTCGATTAGTCAGGAAGACCACCTTGCTTCTCCTATTGGTGCCATGTAATTATGCGGACCTATAACTACACGATCTTGTCAAGCAACAATGGACAGCTTGGCAAACGTAATACTTAGTGCGGAACAATCTTCGGTTCATCTCGCCGATGTAGATGCTCAGTTTCCAGGGGATCTTCAGCTTATGCCATTGTCTAGATTTACTGCGGGGACTATACACATCTGCCGTCTTCTAGGTACGTGTCCGACCACGGCAGCCAAGACGGCTACGCGGGGCACTGCCAGCAGCAGCTCCTGCGGTCTCACGGCCGCGATGCTCGAGCCTACCCTCCCTGCATGCTCGAGTGGCAGGCAAACTCCAAGAAGGCGCGCATGGCCCTGCAGGCTTCCTTCTACGACGGTGAGCGTTTTTATGACCAGACAAGATATGGGATAATGAGCAGCTTGATCATAAATTCATCGGCTTCCCACAGGCGTGGATAGAGAAGGGGCGGTGGAGTGTGGCGGTTCTGATTTGCGGTAGCTTCTATAGCCACTTCGAAAAAACTTGGTTGCGCGTATAGACGTGGACAAGAAGAAAGAACAGGCAATAAAATGCGCTAGGTAGACCTGGTAGGAAGATGCGTTAATGATAGAATACGTAAGCATAACCAAAAAGTGAGCAGCCGTCGAGATGGCCATCTGTCGACGCATTATCATGACTCTTAATGCAAACCTGCGTTCACTATATATGTGCACGATTATCAGCAGGCATAGAGATAAAACGGTAAGAGAAATGATCGAGGCAGACTTAACCTAAAGTTATGGCGATGAATGCGTCAACGCGGCTTTGATCGATATGGCGAATAAGGTGCCACAGTTCTTGCGAGCAGCAACCAGGTACGTGATTGGTTGAGTGGCGTGATGGCGAAGAGGGTTTATTCCAGTAGATTTCCGAGAATGAAATAGTCGAATAGCGCATTGTGTATCCTCTCCTTTTCGTACACGCTCAACCATATTTTCAAAGATTCAGGACCAACACCTCCCATCAGTCCCAAGTGTGAAAGTCACTTGGCACGATTCTCCCGAGAAACCCGCCTGTGCCGCCGTACCCAGGGGCCTTTACCATACACTCTAACAAATGCCTGCGCGCCTACTTACCCGCAAAACACTCCAAGAGCCAATCTCTGCGATCTACGAAATCAGCTCAGCAATTGACGAGGCAGAACATCTGTTTGGACATCAAAATTAAGTCTGCGCTGTGGCATTACGCAATGCAAGCATGACGCTTTAATAGAGTATATTTAGCTTAGTGCTATATTTTGTAAAAAACAAACGTACGCGCGCGTCTTTGTGAAAAATTGCTCTACGCGGCCTTAAACCTTCCCAATTACGCTGCAGGAAGTGAGCCCTTGATGGGTTCCCTTGACTCGTGGACCACGGGCGAGGAGTTCGCTGCGCCCTTGGTTCAAGCCCGGGGAGTACAGGATCCGTTCGGCTGGACGGTGGATCTGGAACACGGCTCCGCCTCGTACGGCCTGTGCGGCGCCGACTACGTCCTCGACTTGATCTCGGAGACGGACGTGCCACCGGCATTCCCGGTCTGCAAGTCCTTCTTCCTGGTGTCCCACGACAGGGACCGGGCACCGCCCGCCCCGGAGACATCGTGAGTTTGCGTTGTTCCCCGTTCGGTAAACGACTTTGCCGCCACGGTATACGATTAGGCCGTAGACTTTCCAGTTTTAACCGAAAAACACCGATTAACATCTGTCGGTGCCGAAAACGCTTAACGGTGTGGAAATTATTTTTGCCATTCTCAATATGCCCAGTTTGGCCGCGATTGCTCTGGAAGCACGGCTGACGGGCGGAGTGTGTGCACCGCAAAAGGTGTCTTCAATCGGAAAGACAAAAAAAATGGCTCTACCTTTTAGAACTTAAGTACTGTCTTTGGTCTCGAGAACAAAAAGAAATAGCGCACATACAGTTTGATTTTTTTTTTTGCAGACATCCTTGGTATGGCACCTAGACAGTCAGCCTCTTCAAAAGACAGCCGACCGAAGTGGTATCGAAAAATCATGGCACTGACGTAACTTTAAGGAGGTGGCGCTAACTGTAAAACGGAGCACTCGCAGGCGTTTTGCCTTCCGAGAAACCTGTGTCCGCGCAAGCGCAATGTGCACAGCGCGCGTAGAAAAACACGTTCGTTAAAAAAAAAAAAAACAATGAATTGAAGTATAATGAGACCTAAATGTTGAAGACATCGCAATCTTCACAAAAATCCTCCGCAATGTAAAAGTTTCTTTCGATGAAACAGTTTCGGGCGGCTAAGGTGAATTCGCGTTGTTCAGTCTCACATTGACAGAGGCGAGAAATAAATTAACCTTTGTTCTATTTTCTCTCTAAATATGAAGTGCCACAAGCCAAAGTATAAGCTTAGCATCGCACCATGAACTGCCTCGGCTAATGAGTCTTTGACATTATGGGAGACTGTATAATTATCTTTCACATTATGGGAGTCTTTCACATTAATGGAGACTGTAAAGAATCTTCGAATATCAGAGCATGCGACGTAGACATTTTGAGTGAAACGACTAAGCTAGGCGTTCGACGTTGTTGTACCTTGCAGACCGCACCACCCGGGACGCGTAAACACTTTCGAGGTGGATCCGGCGGATACGACTCCGCCGCCACCTTTGCCACCATTGCGGGTGTCGAGTCGGAAGGCGGTGGCCAGGCCGGGTGAGCCGATTCCGGTGCCACCACCGGTGGTTCCTGCAGCCGCCGCGGCGGTCACCAGCAGCACCCGCGTCGAGAGCAGCAGATCAAGAAGGTCTGGAGCGTCACCACAACGCGGCGTCGGTCAGTGCATGTACTTTTGTTTTCTAAAATGACGAGTTGTAGGCAACGCTGCCATAAGATACACCGCGTGCGTGTTAGCTCCGCAAGACGAATTTTGTCTTTAAGTAGGATCGTGTGGTTCCCTTGTAAAAATGAAGTGTTTGGCGTGGGACGTATTCGGTATAAGTGGTGTTAGTTATACGATATATTGGTCATAAGAGGTATTTTGTATAGGAGGTATTCGGTAAGGAAGTATTTGGGGGTAGTAGCTATCCGGCATCGGAGGTATTCAATACAGGAGGTAGTCAGATGTGGTCACTTACGTGAGTTGTAGGTAAAGTACCTTATCGCCAGTTTATAGTTGCAGCCTCTATGTTTTGAAGCGAACATGGTGGGATAACTATTAGCACGCACTCAACCATGAAGCTAAAATCAATGGCGGCCAGCGAGTTTACGGGATTATATAGATCAGGGGTGGCTAGACTGACCCGGCCTTAAAGCCATAATTTGAACCACGAAACTTCCAAGAGCCGCGAGGGGGAGGGGGGGGGGGGGCAAACCTTTGGAATCAGCAATAAACGAAAATCTAACTACTTTCAATCTATCCGAGTCAAAAGCAGTCCAACTGTACGTAAGGTAGCTGTAGCACAAGACTACCAAACCGCGACCTGTCTTCGGATTTAAAACGGTTTCCATTTTTTATTTTGGTGAAGTGCCGGGGGGGGGGGGGGGGGGGGGGGAGCCGTGAGCCACGTTTTAACACGCGAAGAGCCGCATGCGGCTCGCGAGCCGTAGCTTGGCCACCCCTGATATAGATATACGTCTAACGTCATTAATGGTGGATGCGTTGCTGGATGCACCCGTACGCATCGTCGAAGTGGGAGGCAAGAAGAAAACTTATCATTACCACCACTAAAGAAGGCCCATGTAGTCAGAGGATTCAACTGGGTAAACCTAATGTTATTACTATCAGCTGCAGTATAGCTGGCAGTACCGCTTGAAGTAAAACAGTGGGTCGATCACCTGCACTGTTATTAAACCACACATTCTTATTAAATGAAACCTTTTTTTTTGCTTGCCTCTGCAGGGGCGGATGGTTCCCTGGACCGTCGAGACTCTCGGTCAGGAGGCCGGACCGCTTCATCCCACGCGCGCTCCCGTTCCATGGAGGACCTCCTGGACGAAGGACCTCCAGACAGCGGACTCTCCAAGCGGAGCGCCCTCAACGGCCGCTACTTCGAGCAGCGGTCGGACGTCGGTAGCGCGTCCGGTCCGTCGGCCGCTCAGCGTCACGTGGCCACCGTCCACCGCCCGGAAGAAGACGCCCGCGTACTCGACGACATCGACGACGACGGCGGGGCGTCCTGGGGACTCTCGGCGTCAGCCCTAAATGACCGCTACTTCTCCAGGAGCGGGGGCAGCCTCATCCCGCCGTCCGCCTCGGAGACGGCCAGCGAGCTCATGCTGGACTCGCCGCTGGACGGACGTCCAGGGTCGGACCGCAGCGACAGTCCAGCGGTCGACGGCCGAGCGGATGCCACGAGGTACGTCAAGTACTCCGGAGGTGGAGCCGTGAGCGGAAGGCGACGTGGTCCTCACTCCCACACGGCGAAGGCCCAGCTGGCGGGACGTCAGGCGTCGTCCTCGGACTGCGCCCGCAGTTCGGCGTTGTCCGACACGTCGGAGGCGCCGTCGCTGGCGTCGCATGTCCGGAACGTGAGGATACCATCTCACACGTCGGACTTGGACCAGTACTTGGACGACCTCTTCAATCCGGTGCTTCTGGACGGTGGTCTCGATGAACTGAGCGACGCGAGGTCCCTCGCGGCGTCGCTGAGGGGAACCGCTGACGATGACGTGGCCGCTCTGGAGGACCCCGAGCTGCTCTGTATGGCGCTGCGCGGCGACGGGCCTATGATGGATGCTCAGGTAGGGCGGTTCGCCTTAATCTACGTGTTTGCTAAGTCGCGCTGAACTGTATCGATGTGCTGATGAAACGAGCCATGGCCACGCTTTAACCCCATGCCACGGTTCGTTTTGTAGATTTACGCTTGATACTTATATGAAAAGACCCAATATATATTTTTTTTTCACAATTCGGAATGCCGAGTCCTAGATTTTAGTAAATGTGTCTGTCTTGGCTAGAAACTGTACTAGTCAATATTTATGCGACCTGAACCCTTCAAATTCTTTAAAAAAAAGCAGTATGTATACACGAAATGTGAAAATAAAAGAGATGGGACAGAGCGCAGCTCCTTATTTTAAAATCTCTCCACATTCTTAAGAATTTTTTTGGCGGGCGTTTTGTTGTTTAAATTTGATGTTTAGGTGCACGTTTTTTTAAAAGTCGAACAGACAGTCGCGGTCACTTGCGCTGGGTCCAGGGCTGTCTTCACGCTTGCAGATTCGCGTTTTAGTGACATTACGTAACGCTAATATTACGCGCGTATACCGTATCCGCACTGTATGTCTGCGTCGAGCTTCACCACGTCGCCGGTGTGCGCAGGGCGTCGGTGGTGCCCTCTCCATGGGCGCGGGGCTCGGACTTGGAGGTGGCTTGGTGTCTCCTCTGCTCGGTCTGTCGGCGCTCCAGAGCCCAACAGGGGCCCACATGGCAGCCGGTATGTTTAGATGGAGAATCCGTTTTTTTCTTCTTGGTTTGGGGGTGACTTTAAACAGCAGTGCAACGTCGCGGACGGATCTACAACGTCACGTGATCTTGACGTAGTGTTGTCACGTACCTTGGTGACGGGACGTGACTCGTTCACATGACCACATGACGTGGTGAACTCACGCGACCTCATCAGATGACACGGTGACCTCAAGTGAAATTACCACGTTATCACGTGATTTGACTTCACCTGACCATGTGTTGTCAGAGGTACTTGTCTGGAGGGACGTCACGTCCGTTCAGACCAGTGGGTGTTTGGACACATTCTCTGTTTGGGAGTATTTGGCAGGAACCATGGCAGGAACCTAAACATTTTTTTCTCTTTAAAAAAGCTTATTTTTAGTTTTTTTGCGTGCGCATGAATCTATTTTCGAACATGGAATCATTTGCGCGTATGCCGTTCCACAGTCAGTGCCACCGCGTCCTTACGCGACATCACAAACATGACTGTGTATGTTAGAGGTATGCCACAGAAGTCTTGAACTTCGGCACTTTATGAATCCTGCAGCTTCATGGATATGGGCTTAATGAAGTCTAAAATGATGAGTATGCCTGCCGCGTGTGAAACAAAAATAGTAAGACGCTTAAACTGTGTCGTCCTGCAGGAAGCCCCGTCACTGGACACAACCAACAAGCCACCCAATCTCTCTACAATCTTCCACTCTACAACGTGTCAGGTGAGCTGACTTATAATAATAATAATATTAATAATAATAATAATAACGACAACAACAACATTAATAATAGTAATAATAACATCAAGAACACGATTTTATTTCTATTTCAAGTAAATGGTGGATACCGAGAAAAAAAGCCTCACAAGACGGCTTGACGAGCTCTCGGCACCCATACTTTCTGCAGCAGCAGCGTGAACGGGATTTTTAAGTCAAGTATAAATAATTTGTCACTTAGCACTCCCCCCCCCCCCCCCCCCCCCCCTTTTCCCCCGAAGAAAAAGAGAAAAAAAAAATACATTACAAGTGAAACTATTCTGCACTACAAACAATTTGAGCAATACTATTACAAAATTAAACAAAATCATTATTTTTTTTTCGCCTTGCTTTTTATAAGCTACAAAGAACCTGCCAATTTTGTTGCAGGCATGACCGTTCCCATGGTGGATGCGTCCCAACTCATCCAACAGCAAGTTTTGCAACAGCACATGATGCAGGTTAGAACTTGTATTCTAAATTGGACAATGTATCGGAACATTTAATTTGTATGGGATAATTGTTGTGTAATTATTCGAGTACAGTGCTTTTCTATATTATTCCCTACTTTCTTTGATAAATCTTGTATTGGATTTATGTGTTCTAGTTATAGTTTTAATTTTAACACCTATGGTGAGCACAAAAACGCGGTGTAAGATTTAAAAAATTCGTATACTTTACGTGACGTTGCAGGGTCTATTTTACTGTCATGAACGATGTTTTATCCTATATACTTCTTTCAGTTGCTTGATTTCTTTTTTGTTGTTAAGAAATGCGGGATACAATTTATCAGTAACTTGTTTTTCCTATGCGTATGGTCAGTATTCATAATTTGTTTATACCTGCGCATGTTCTGCGCATGCATGTTACGTCTTCGCTAGTGCTTTTCAGCAGAAAGGAGATGTAGATGCGCAATGAAGAATGTGTTGAACATGCGTCTGACTCGATAATAGTGTTTTCTAAATAGATTAGACACTTTTTTTATCTGCGGTTCCTAGCTGCCACACAACGACACCAAGTGCCCAGAATTTTCATCAGGCCAGTGAAAAGCTAATGCTCCTTCTGTGCGTTAAAATATTGGACCGGACGTCAGATTAAAATCAAATCTATGGTTCACACATACTTGTAAAAAAGGAAGATCGTCCTGAGCATGAACCTGGAGCATGATTAATATTGATTACTTCTGTCATATAATTAATATAATTTTATGTCTGTACAAAGGACGTACTAGGTCCGTGTATGACATATCGTATTGCAGAAGTAAATGAACTAGATGCTTGAACTTATTTTACGAATTATATATGTCCCGTGACTTGATTTTCATGAACAGAGAGCATCTTTTTTTTTTTTTTTTTTTTTTTACAGATAGAGCGCATTTTAAGACAGTCATCTCCTTACAAAAAGGCCGTTGTACTAAGTTTTCCGACAAACCCATGACTTCCACTATAAATTACGCAAAGGAAGGTTTTTGCTGCTTTGTCGCTTGATAATAATTGTGCTTATTAGTCGTACTCGACTAATGAGCACTTGGTACTAAACAAGAATGACGTAAGTTACATTGTCGCGCAGTCTCAATTCTCCGTGGGTGAATCTTTTTCAGCTTCAGCAGCGTGCTTTTCTGGCCAACGCGGTTCAGCAGAACCTTCAAATTCAGCAGCAACTGATGCAGCAAAGCGCTGCCTTGCAGCAACTTCTGCAGCACTCTGTGGTGAGCTTTAGAGCCTAATGTTGTCACTCCGACAATCGGTCATAGTTGACAAATTTGCCGCCGAGAACATACTCAAAGTACGATTAACGGTGCCGGGCCCACGGCGCAAACCTCCGTCCTTACCCACGAGTTCGTGACTCTGGAGCGAAATCAGCTTGGCTTTAAAATAGGCTTACTTTTAAGGGGATGCTTATTAGTTTAGATTTTCATTTAGTAACAATGCCTTTGTGATGTCCCTGATGTGTTAAAATTATCTAAAATAAAAAAAAAATGGCATGTATACGCCCTTGTTTTTTTGGCTTCCGATTTCACCGCGTAACGGCGTGACTATTTAGAGGTATTTATATTGCAAAGTGTACAAAAACATCGGGAGCCATTAAAAATGCGACAAGTGACGGGACCATTACTTCTACGTAGAAACAATCAGTTTAGATATTCTTTGCTGAATAGATGGCGTAAACGCGGCTGTCTTTCTGACTTTTTTTTGTTGATTTATATATAGTCGAATTTGGTGAAAACATTTCGGCTACTAACTTACAATTTCGAGGTCGTCAAGGTCCCTGAACTCTGCGAAAACTAATCTTACATCCAACGCGATGCCTATGGTCAAAAGCTTTAGGTCACAAATAACCTACCCTTACGCGTGAACCACGCTAAAGACCCCGGAAACAAGCTTGCACTCAAAGCAAAAACACCGCGGACGCCTCTTCGAAGCAGACTAACTTTTCCGACGCCATCCCAGCCTTCGCGCGATAAATGTCGACTTAGAGACACGCAGATTCCACCACCCGTCATTCTTTTCCGAAGATGACTCGACGTCAAGAACAAAATCCCATATACTCCGTTTCGCACTGGGTCTGAGCAGCCGAGCAGCGTCAAAGTGCATCTCGGTGGCGTTCGTCGACTCTGTACGTACGTTTGCTATCGCCAGCTCAATCAATCAAGCGCAGAAAAGAAAGCAGCATCAGTGCGCATTCACTGCGCGCGCGTGATTGTTTTAGCAGGAGACAGCAAATGCACAAAGAAGACGATTGCCGTGACCATGCGCTTTTGAAGCTGCCTGCTTAGCTCCATCGGATCGAAACGTCGACTGCAATCGGACTCGACTTGACACAAAGTATAACGCAGTCTTCCAGTAAGCACATTCTTAATAACAAACACCATCCTCAGGTCCCTCCAACTTCTCCGCCTCCACCGACGACGTCGGGGCCATCGGGCGGCCCGCTGCTGGCCGGCACCCCGGTGGCGGAGGCCCCGCACCTGTTGGCGTCCCCACTGTCAGGCCTCACGCCCCTGTCTTTGTCCATCCCGATGCTCGAGACACCGCAGCACCGGGTGGTGGCCGCCACTTCGGGCCACGTCCCGAGGTCCTCGCCCAGGGACGCGTTCGGCAGCGTGCTGTCCGAGCTGCGGTTCAAGGCCGACGGAGGCATGGCCCACGGCTCGCACCCGCCGCCGCCTCCGCCACCCCCTCCGCCTCCGCCACCACCCCCGCTGTCGCCGACTGCCATGGCCAAGTATCATGGTGAGAAAGCGAGATTCCCGTCCCGCCCGTAAACATCGTAAGTGGTGCCGGAGTAGCAAGAAATGACGTCACAGAAGGCGGAGTGTCATATGCCGTCGGATGTCGCGATCCTGGTGGTTGGTCGTAGTAGTTTTGGCAAAAAAGCACGAGAAAACGCGAATGTCGCTGTCGTCGCGGCGTCCCAACTCCTAGCTATCGAAGCTCCACTGGACTGTCAGGCTGGAGAGCGACCCCCAGCAGAACAGGCTTCTGCCACATCCACCACCGCTGCTGGGACGCTGCCAGGATCGCGGCCGGCGACAGCGTGACATTTGTATGACGTCATCCGTTGGAAATTGAGGGACCACTTTTTCGGTGCGCTGGTAAACACACCTGTCTGAGACGCGCTCCAGGCACCGTACCACAAGGATCGCTGCTGTGACGTCAGTGCAAGACATGCATAGTCATTGATAACTCAAGAAACGTAAGGCGTGTCAAGTCCCGAGCACCCGATATTGGCTCCGCAGCCAGTAAGACCGCAGCGTCTGATGACAAGAAAGTCGGAGGACTCAAGCTGCCGGTTACTTTAAACATCAAGGCCTGTGACGCTGGGTATTCTAAGCCACGTACCGGAGGCCAGCGCGGGCACAAATGGGGCACGAGCGCTGCGTCAGCGTTTGGCTAAGACTCGCGGCCTCGCGGCCTCGCTGATTGAACTCGAGTCCCAGTCAAACGCCGACGCAGCACTCGGCTCCAATCCTGTGCATCGCTCTGGCCTCCGGTACGTGACGTAGTAAACCCAGCGCTACAGGCCTTGTTATTTAGGAGGCGTTCTCTCCTCACAAACAAGCACGCTTTTACCCCCACCGGGTGAGGGCACTGAGCATGCGCAGTGCCGACAGCAGCGCTACCACAGTGGCGTGACGTCACAAAGTTCAGTTGGTCTCAACATTACTAGATTACCTCAGTTGTGGAACTCCCGCGGAAGGGGGTACCCCCCTCACTCACTTCAGTCCGCCTGCCGTGGTTCGAAGCGCTACCTAGATTTTTGTTTCATAGCTGTGCGTTCCAAAGAGCAGAGCTGAAACGCCATCTAGACAACGTGCTTCGAAACCTGATTCCCATAGAATCTCCTTGCACAGAATCAAGGAGGATAGAAGGGTAGGAGAGGGCATGACGTCGGCCGCGTAGCCTCTACAAGCCATGCTCCCTTGACGCCTCGCCTCTTTCTCATTTGCCTCCTTACTCTCCTCACTTACCATGCCAACGTGACCACATCACGTGACCGTAGCTAGCCTTCGTCTTGCTATGGGGTACAAGAATACACCACAGTCTAGCCTTCGATCTGATAAAACCTACCGGACGGAGCGCGAGCAAGCCTGCAAGGAGTCCTTCTACAATCAACCATCCATCTCACACGCGACATGTCACGCGCACCAATCGCCAGAGAGATCTGCGGTCACGCTGGGCACAAAAACGTTTAAACTTTTTATGACTAGGCGTCACCAATATTGTAACGTTCCCCGTCCTAGTACTTATAACCTCCCTGCTGCTAGCAGAGTCGGGCGCGTGCCCTCTCTCTCGTTTTACCCCGCCGAACCTGCTGAACTTCCCGGATCTGTGAAGAGGGCGCTGCGGTCTAACAGAATGGCGCCGCCCTGAGAGCGCTAAATGGTTGATCAATAAATTTCAAGCCGTGTTAGAGACTTCGTTGTCCCGTCCGTTTTTTTTAATTGTTCCGTCTCAGGGTTACTATTGATGTAATACGGATTAGTTTGATTTAAATCATTGGAGCTAGACAATATCAACTTTTTCATCATTACATGTATCTCTAAACTGTTCGTGCATGCAGCGTCTATGAGCAGTTCCGTAACTGGGCTAATCTAATAACGTTGGTTGGTCTAAAGTCGCTGACAGCTTAAAGGAGCTATGCAACAATTTTTGTACTTTGCGCAAATACCGCTTAAAACGGATCCCTGACGCTAATGACCTATGAAACACGCGTTCGTTTTTCACCCCACGCAATAGAAGTCCCAGAAAAAAAATTAAGAAAAACGAGCAGCGTTCACCCCCTCAACTCGCAGCCAGAACAAGCGGCCACGTGATCTGGAGTCGATTATATGCCGCCAGTGTTGATCATAGCCACGCGCTGGGGTTGGCAAAGCGCAGGACACGCGCTGAGTTCCAGACATTGTTATGGCTCGGCTGTTGTCGTCGTTGCAGCGATTGGACACGGGTCACAACCCGAATGCTTCTCGAGCTAGCAATTGTCACGAGCCGACGTCGAGTGCCCACGCAATGCTCGGGTCCAATCTATGAACCGCATTCAAATATCGTCACTTGGGTGTACTGCGAACCCCACGTTACGTCACCAAATTTTGCAAAGGAGAGATTGAATGAAAATGATCGCTTTTGTCCTTGAAATTACACCGCAACAAAGGAGTTTCTTGGCCAATTGCGTTGCGTGTGAGTATCCTTGAATCCCAGGTGTGCCAGTAAGCTCGTGTAGAGAGAAAAACATTCCAATTGAATATCGTTGCACCGCTCCTTTAAGAAACGCTTGTTGCGTTCAGGCTCCTTGCTTCGTGATTGGTCCTTCGGCGTTCCTGTCCGCGAAGGCTGCAATTTCATTGGCGGAGGAGCGATAATGAGATGCTAGCGACCAGCCAAGCCCCGAGATTCTTAGAGAGAAGCTGAAGAGGTTTTTGATTTCAGAAAAATACTGCGAAAGTTAGAACGCAGGCACCTTATAAAGCATGAATGAAAAATTTCTTTCAATTTTATCAGAACTACGCGATCGCGAATGAAAAAATGGGCCGCAGCCCTGCCTGCTGCTGCACGCCCAGCGCAGGAAAGCACGGAAGCGGAGGCTAAAATCACCGAAAGTTACGTCAACTGCGGGGTCAGATGACCCTTTCTCGCCACTAAAGCTGAAGCGGAGATGCCGACGATGACGTCACGCCGTCTTGGACAGATAACAGGCGACAGGGTGGCTCGCCGCATCCCCTGCAACAATCCACGTTAAAAAAAAATCTGCTTACGTTTACTTTAGATTAATTCAAGTGCGACAGTCGAATACACGGGACAAAAGACTACAGAAGTCTGCTCTAAACTCAGTTTCTTTTTACATGCTCTAGCTTTTTTTTCTTTTAATCTGTCAGAGATCATAAAATCAAGTATAGACAGGGAAAACATCGCTTAATCTTCTTCCCTTCCTGCGCGCAGATGTGTACGGGAGGGCCAAGACGGTTCGCATCGGCAAGTGGCGCTGGCCTCCGCCGCGCGACGAGTCCGGCAACTGTCTTCCCGGTCAGCCCACGTCCTTCCTGGAGTTCAAACGGCTCAAGCGCCAGGAGCGCGAAGCCCGTCGCGCTGCGGGTCTCCAGGACGACTCGAGCAGCGACGACCTCGAAGAGCTCGACGACGAGGAGGACCTGGTGGACTTTCCTGAGATCCAGGACATGATACCGGACTCCCAGAGACCGGACACTGGCTCGCCCAAGGTATATACCCTGAAACCCCCGGATCAACGATCACCTTATATACGAAAAATGAAAGGGAAACTTGTAAGACAATACAGATCTGTACGGTCTTCTATGGCCCCCCTCTTTTATTTTCATAGTTTAGTCACCAACACGTTCGACAATCTAAACGGGCATTCATGCTGAAGGAATGCGCCCGAGAAGTTGAGCTCTAAGAAGCGGGGGCATCAGAACGCCGAGCTCTGACTAAAATGATTAGGGGGTAGGCGTAAAGCTAGTTGCCTTTGTCTCCACTCACTCTTCAAACGCGTTTGAACGCTGGACGCCGGCGTTTGACAGTCGAACGCCGGCGTTTGACAATCGAACGCCGGCGTCTAGTGTTTCGCGTCCAGCGTTCAGCTCTGGGTCTACCCACTATTCGCTCCAACCAGAGTTCGGCGTGCTGACGTCCCCCTGTGCTCTTGTCTCCTCCTCTCTCTCAATTTCTGGTCACATAAAAGTGAAAAAAAAAAAAATTATGTGGGCGATCTCTCGGGAAGGGCGTTCGCTTGGAATTTACCGGCTGTTTACGTACAAGCGCATTTTCCCACACAAGCTATTTAACACTGTGCTTGCGCATATACCTTTTTTATTAAAAGAAAAAAAAAACTATTCAATTGCGCGTGCTCCATTGCTATGCCAGCGCCACGGCTTTGATGTGATGCCAGAGGCATGATGCGGTGTATAGGCGTAGTCGTTTAGTTTTCACCACATCGAGGTAACGCGTGACTGAGACTGTTTTAAGGGATGGATTCAACCTCTCAACTTCCGCCATCAGCTGTTTGCTTGGGAGCTCTGGGATTTCATCTCTCGAGTCGCTGTTTTGGTTGTCGAGGTTATGGCAGCGAATCGTGAAAATCTGTCTAGTGTTGTTGATCGGTTCGGAGGGTTCTCTCCAGATTAAACGAAATGTTAGAAACCGCTGTCCGCAAGCGTTTCGCGTCTCTAATTGGAGTTTATAGCTCTGCGCAAGATCGGCACTTATGTTGAAAAGAAACGTCCAATGCGCAATTGTGATACGCAGAATTACAAAACTCTCCACGTGTTCACTTACAAACATACGTAAGCTAACCATTGCTTGTCTTGCTCCAATCGTGCGTCTTCGCTGAAGTTGTCTTTAATGACCACTCCTGGTAAGGAGTCTTGAGCGACTCTAAGGAGTCGGACTCCGACCGCAAATCGTTGCTGCAGTCCGACTCTGTGCGCACCCGCGGGGACGCCGAGGAAGAACCGATCCGGGCCTTTGAAGGCGAGACGCGGCCGGGCAGCGTGGGCAAGCTGCGCATCAGCTCGGAGATGAAGGCCAAGCTGGAGCAACTCACCATGGACCACAGCGTACGGTCGAGGACCTCCAGCAGAAGACAGGAGGAACCGCCACCGTCCTTGGCGTCTGGCCCCGGTGGAGGTGAGCGCGTGCGACAACCTCGAGCCTATAACCTTGTTACGCGTCCAGGAAGTGAGCGCACAAAAAGTCAAGTGGGGGCGTGGGTCTTGTCTTTTCTTTCAGCTTATAAGGTGCATAATCGTGCTGACCGCCTTCTTTTCACAGCCTGCAGCAGCCGAGTTACATCTTTCGGTTTTAGGTCACCTTCGACGTAATATAATTGTGGTCGATGTGCGTGAAATCCTACCTCCTTCACTCCCCTATACTTCTTGAACTTTGGGTGCCTGAACTAAACATAAGTTAGGCGTCCTGGCCTATGATGATTATCTGACTCAAAACGCATCATAAAAGGAAAACCAAATTGACGGTTCTTTCTGAGTCAACAAGCAAATGTTTAGGCAGATTGAATATCAACTTCAGGGCACTATAAGCGCGATTTTTTTTTTTAATTATAGGTAGCAGCAAACTAAGGGAAGATCGTAAGCTGGCTCTTGAGCGGCAGCTGGGATGGCAAGACGCTGCGTCCGAAGCCCACTCTTTCCGGGTCGACAACCTGGTGAAGTCCAAGATCAAGAAGATGGAGAGGCGTTCACAGGTTCGCCCCCCCCCCCCTTATTTTCATTTATAAACTCACAGACACACTAATGCAGCAAGATGTTTATTCCAAAAGCCGGGTCAATAACACGATGCTTTGGCGGTCACTTAACCTATGCATTGTTTGGCTTCATCTGTCCACCAACACACGCGCCTTCGCCAGCACGTGCGAGTATCACTTAGAAAATGCAATGTATTCTGTAGGCATGTTACCACTAAAGGTCACAAAAACACAGATGCTCACACACGTAAGCATTTATGATGGGGGACTGTAGCATTCATTCATGTTGGGCACAAATGCAGCGCACGTGCCAATGAAGAATGAACTGTGCTTAGAAAAATATCTTTCTGACCACTCTGAGTAATGAACAAGAGATAGAGATTTTCACGCGTTGTCGCTTCGTTGTGTCTAACTACTCGTTAAATGGCTACGTTAGTCCCGATGCTCACGTCCTTTTCCTTCTCCAGGTCCCAAGAGACATGACCGGTAGAACGCCAAGACCCGCCGACAGAGCGGGCCTAGGACCACCGCCACCGCCTCCCCAACAGCTTCAACAGGCTCAACAACTTCATCAACTCCAGCAACTCCAACAGCTCCAGCACCTTCACCAACTGCAGCAGCAACAGTTGCAGCAGCAGCAACTTCAACAGCAGCAACAGCATCCGCAGCGCGGAGGCTCGGGTCAGTCCGGCTGTTCGTCGGTAGCGGCCTCAAGCAGCTGCTACTTGGCCACCACACCTGTTGTGCCTAGACACCGGGAACGACCTATGCCGATGCAAACCGAGAAGCTTCTAGACGGGCTGTCCTCCAGCAAAGCGGAGGCGATTGAGTGTGAGTTTGTTTCTTCTGCGTCTCAAGAGTTCTGCATAGCATTGTGGAAGTCACAGTAGCACTCTGGAAAGTACAGTACCGGTGGCGCTTTGCAGAAAGCACGAGCAAATACTTGGGTATGCCAAACATACTTACTTCAGAGCGACGCTCTTGCATCTGTGCATTTGAATCACAATCTTCGTGATTTGTATCATGAAGGACTGTCCATAAAGTAACGATAACTGGGGTATTGCTGATTATTTGATTGTATAATTCGCTCCAGGAATCGGTTGTTGTGGCGCGACTTTGTCAAGTTCACGATTTGTGTGTTTTCATAATTTCCTTTTTTTTCGCTTACCTTCGGTGTTTTAGTTGAGGACTGCTCTGAGTTTCTACAACCCGTCGACGAGGCACCCCCGGCTCCCGTTGTCCGTGCCAGGGACAACCTGAAGACGCGACTGTACCCGGCTTCCAACGCCCCTTTCTTCACCTATACCAAAGTGGAGTGGAGACTGAGAATCCGGAAAGAGGTACGAACTTGAAAATAAGAAACGTAAGAAAAATACCCCGGAGACTTTTCGGGATTATTAAATGTCCAGTTCTGGTTTCTTAACAGAAACAGAAGATCAAAACTTGGCGAAGGCCAGCTCGCGGGAGCATAATCCGCAGCTTGGCAATTGAAAAACTATCAATAAACGCAAGTGATGGCGGGCATGGGAGGATCTTGAGCACTTTACATCCAACGTTTCTGCACTGCACAGTGCCCACTCCTTGTTCGCTTCCGTTGTCCTGCGTAGAATTTGGTTTCGCGCCGTATAAAGTCACTGGTATATGTTTACTCGGTCGGATAATGATTTGAGTGCTTGACGGTGTCATTTGGACGGCCACAGGGGCTGCTAGAGTCACATCGACCTCAATATTGCGGGAGATTCAACAGCCATTATAAGCGCCGGCCAATCGCATTTCTGAAGACGTTTCTGAGTACCATGCTTTGCGACACTAACCGTAGCTTTTTTCTATGAACGATAATTTGAAGGCGAAGGAAGCAGCATTATTTTTAGAGTGGCTTTATTACACGGGAGTTTTAGTAGATTGTTTCGATAACTCCGATAACAACACCCGATACTCCACCGACATTTTCTGCATGAATCGTTTCGTTATCGGGTATATTCATTGGAATTATTGGAACGATATAGAGGGTAAAGGTTTGGAAGCTCCCTGTGTGGTTTGGGGGGTTTCTTTCGTTCTCTCTGCCCTTTATGTATGGTGACGAAATAGTGTCACTGAATGGATTGTTAGACTCATTATGTGAACATACGCTCGCGGATCACGATGTACGCGTACGACATCATGCATCTAACTTTTATCTAAACCTTGAGGAGTACTACGGAGACTCCATAGAGACTCACAACGCGGAGTAAGCCCTGTTTCTGGAATCTGAACCATCATCCTGGCTCAGGTATTTCAACCGGGAGAAAGGCTCCAGGAACCGCAGGCCCTCCACATGGTCTTCTGTCAGGTGGTGACAGACGTCTTCGCAGCAGCGTGCATCAGGCTACGAGATGACGAAGCTGCTAGGCTACGTTCCCTATGCGGTATGTATTGTTTACTTCGATGGTGGCGACGCCTTGTGAACACGTAAGGATACTTCTAGAAAGCATAAAATAGGGTTATGCTGATAGTAATTAAGATCTAATAAAGTAATATTGTGATACTATAAGCGAGACAAACTATGCATGTTTGTGAGACTTAACCGTGAACCACCGAGGCCAAGCCGGCGAACCATCACGAACCACTCATTAGTATGCCAGTTCCCATTCGCAAATATGTCATCTCTAGCCGCATTCACAATTCATCATTCAACAGACCTGTAAAATTTTCCAGCCACCTAGATCTGCCTCTGGGTACTTCACAGGGTGGATTCTGCCGAAAAAGAAAACACCTCTTGAATCCTATTCTAGGTTACATTTGAAAGGACACACACCAAAACTTCCCTTGACATACTCGGAATAACTTTATCTTCTGAAGACGGAAGCGCGTGGCATCGTATACTACTAGAGTTCTCTCTAATACCCGGCGCGTCACTGCAGCCCTTGTGCGTCACTCCAGTTGCAGTTGCATCACCAGGCCGTTAGAGTGCTCTGATAGTACCCGATGCCACGCACGTATTTGTTCCCGCTAACTGTGATTAAGATAGTACATCCACAAACACGTCCACAAGTCACATTCGCAACTCATCTAAAGTCAAGTACATGACTGTATCCTCCAACTGCCGCGACTATGAACGTCGGTGTCGCAGTTTGGTCCGCATCCGGCCGAGTCGTACTCTGTTACTCTGATGTTCATAAGAACGATAATCTTCATTTTCTTCCAGATTCGCTGGGTGTGAGCCCTTCTCCCGAGGCCTTCACGAGAACGGGTCTCCAGACACAAAGGAGTCTCGTAGAAGCTGCGCGGGAACTCCCTCTCTACTTCAGCCGCATGTTCCCGGCGTCGGGCGGTCGGCAGTTACCCGACGTCCACCTCGTGGCCGTTGCTCACAGCGGGGTCCGCCTTGTCCGGAGGGACCCTCCGGGCCAGCTACAGGTTCTCGACACCGTAAGGTACGTGTGCCTCAACCCAATGTCGCCTGCGATCTGCGATTCTGAGGGCGTAAACGCAAGCACAATGACAGTTTGGTCAGCGTGTGACAATGACCGGAAGGTCATTGTCATTGTCATTGGCAAATGACCTCCCGCTCATTGTGCTATTTATTTTGGCAGAGGCGCACATGCGCCCCAGAATTTGGCAAAAAGATAAATTTGCCAAGAAGAAACAAAGCAAAACTGAAATAAATGCTAAAAAGTCTAATCTATCGAAGTTGGTCCTAAAGCTTCTCTATACTGAAAGTAGCGCCATTGAGTGACTCTCCGACAGGCTCTCACCCTCTAGAAAAATTCTCCCACTTCTCTTGAAAGTTTCCCTTGCTACTACCACTGACTGACTGAGCGTTCGTCCGGTTTCGGTTCGCCACTTCCGTCCGCCATTTGTGCCCTCCCGTGTCGCGGTTTCGCGTTTTCCGGCGGCATGTATAGACCGTTTTATCGTGGGTAGCGCCATTTTGAGAGCGAGAAAAGGGGAAAGGGCTACCGGCGCTTTCCCCCTTTCTGATTGTGCAGAAAGAGTGGAAGTCCCGGATGAGAGGCCTGGCCGGTGTTGGGCGTCTGCAGTGCCCCAACTTCGTTCGCGCTTTTTTCTACGTTTCAAACTCCCAAACTTAATTAGAGCCATGGTCTTCGATGGCTACAGTCCCCCGGTCATCGGGGCACCATTGCTGGGTGATAGGGCGCACGAATAAGGGCAGAAAGCGTCGAATACTGTCCGAGGGCCTATGTAGCTTGCATGGAATCCGGCAAGGCAAGTACGGCTGGAATGTTTTTAAGCTCCATTGCTTTCCGCATGACTGGAAATGATGAACCATTTATACATTTTTGCTTGCAATGGGCCTATTTCAACTTAGTCGCTTTTAGTTGTAATCAACAAGTTATACACGAAACGGGAACCTCAATTAACTTTGTAAACGCCCGGAGCTGCTACATATCGTCCTGCTCTGCTGCTTTTATCTTGCGTGTCCGTGTTCTCATATTTCATTGTGGATGAACGACGAAGACGCTCCAGATGTACTTTTATCGAACCGCAGAAAGCCTCGAAGCACCACGAATTATCTTACTATTTGATGCAATATTTTGTGTTCTCAGCTCCAATTTTTATAGCTGGCACGTTCGCTGCCGCTGTTCCCCCCGTCGCCACACTGGCGGATGCCATGACCCAAACAAAGAAACGTGCACACTGGGCTCGAAAACACAGATCTCAACACACGAGACGTTCCCTGCAGCGACTATCAAGCGCCTCAAAGCGCCTCAGTCACCGGAAACAACCCACCAGCGGCACTCCAAGGACGCTTTTGCCGGCTCTCTGGTATCGCGCAGAAGATCGCGATTAAACAAAACAACAACAATAGAATTACGTTTTCAACAATTTCCAGCCTCATCCGGGGGCGGAAATGAGCCTTCAACTAAGTGCTGTAGATGATAAAATCGAGTCAGTCACCACTGCAAATTATCGCTATTAATATAAATTCAGTTACAAAATTTTACAAGCTGAAACAGCAGTTATCACGAGAAAACTCGCACGCACATTGCGAGCGTACCCCATGTTCATCGGCGGTACAGCGTTCGGTGCGCGCTCCATTAACGAAATGTTCCGAGCGAAGTCGAGAGGATGGCGTTGAGGAGACGTCTTTTCGGTTTACGGACGCAATCCACTGCCGCCGGAGACAAAGGTCATGTGGAAAGCGATGGAGCTCAAAGACATTGCAGCCGCTCTCGCCTTGCCGGATTCCTTGCAAGCTACATATGTCCTCGGACAGTATTCTATGCTTTGTTTTTATTCGTGCACCCTATGACCCAGCAATGGTGTCCCGATGACCGGGGGACTGTTGCCATCGAAGCCTCTGGCTCTAATTAAGTTTGCGAGTCTAAAACCGAAAAGAAAGCGCGAACGAAGTTGGGGCACAGCAGACACCCAACACCGGCGAAGCCTCTCATCCAGGACTTCCACTCTTTCTACACAATCAGAAAGGGGGAAAGCGCCGGTAGCCCTTTCCCCTTTTCTCTCTCGCCCTCTTTCAGTAAAACGGTCTATATGTATACGTACTACGTCACCGGCCGCCCGCCGGAGCTTTATTTATGGGTAGAGCGTATGTCGTGTTTTGCGCTTAGAAACGATATCCAACTACCGCTTTAAGCGTGGCGTAATTACTAAATCATTTGACTGCGTTTACAAAAGGCTCATTCACTTTTTTTTTCAGCTCGTCGTCACTTCGGCGTGTAAAGGCAGAAACAAAAAAGGCGCATGAAGTGATGAAATTCGCTGTCAATTGTTTTGAAAAGGAGCGAGTCGGGGACATCGGAACCACACTTAGTTCCGTTCGCAGTATAAGACCACAGCTTCGTACGTATTCCATAACGTGTGCGCGCGTATCGCCTTGGCTCCTGTCTGCTGAAGAGGAAATAAGATTAGGACGATCTGTCTCACACTTCCTATTTATTGTATGAATGTTTGCAAAGCGGAAGATTGCGTCCGATCTTAAACCGGAATGAGTCGAGCAGACGCACAACCGAAGCCCAACTCGCGTGCCTGCTCCAGACGTGAAGCAATGGAAAGACACACCTATAGTCGCAAAGACGTCAGCGACAACGGCAACTCATATCCGAGCGAAAACTGCGGTCGAAATCGCGCAGCAAACACCTATCAGCAAGGGTTTGCCAGTAATCACCTGTAGCGGCGTTTGGCGGAAGGGCAGCCTATACTCTGTTTCATACTTAGCGTGCAACGCTGTCAAAGCTACTGGCGCGAGCGTGGGGCTTGATCTCGTTGATCATTTGCACGCGTTCTCGCGCAAACAAAACCATAGATGAAGCCACGCGCTCGCGCCAGTAGCTTTCACAGCGTTGCACGCTAAGTATGAAACAGAGCATAGGATCAAAACCACCTAGAGCTCTAGGATGCGCTCGCGTCGAAATGAAAGAGGAAAAGACTGGTGGAGAGAAGGAAAGAGTGAAAGCTTCCCGAGGGAAAGGGGGAAAGGCGCTACGTGTTGTTGATTACTTGCACTACCGTAGACGATACAAACTAAAACAGCTCTTATTGCTTTTCTAACTTTCTTGTTGTTAAAAAAAAAAGTCCTTGGTCCGAATATGCGTTGAGACGCAAAGCTTAGGTCTCAGTCTTTGAACTCTTTGACTAGTTGAGAGATAATAGAGCTTATATAAACTCTAGGCGCAGCAAGAATCCAGATTGAATGTTTCATCTCATATCATCCGGAGACGTACAGGAGGCAGGAAAAAAATACTGATTCGAAAAGAATAAAAAAGGTCTGAAGTTTAGAACGTAAAGGGAGCACATACATTGTACGGTTCATAGGAAGAAAGTCATCCTCTTCGAGAAACAGAAGTGCAGGCGTGTTTCTGATAAAAAATAGTGGAGTGACTTTGTGGCCTTAGGGCCCGTTCACACACTTTATTCTCCTTAGAACCGAGTGCCTCGAAACCCCTTAAAATTTCTTAGGACGAGAGAACACACAGACACGCTGGCACCATCTGTGCGGTGACCTTGGAACTGCATTCCATAAGAGCGGAGGTTTTGCGGGATTTTCGAGGTCAAATGTGCGTAATACCTATGAGAAAGCGTCGTTTATAACGTTGACTAAAGTTTTTCGAGGCAAGAAAGAAAGAATGATGCGCGAGAGAAATGGTACTTGGTGTGATTTTCATCTTTGTTTCTCGATGCTTGCCGTTGACCACTGTAGGAGACCGAGGACAAGTCAAGCTGCATATCGCAGCTTTTTTTCTCGGGCTCCCCCATCAAGATTGGTGGAAATAAAGATATTATTATTATTATTATTGTTATATGCGGGATCGTTAAGTTTCTACCGCTACCCAATATATGGCGCCAGTGTGTCCTCTTGTCGTGGGAGATTTTAAGAGATTCCAAGGCAAACGGGCCTTTAAAAAAAGTTAGACTTTTTTTTAACATGGGGCATACACTTTAAACTATAAAACGTCGACTATTGCTTGCCATAGTGGCAGTAGCCATCCTGCTGCAATACACCGCACATTGATGGTTGTACACCATAGTGGGTCGTTTTCACTGTGGGAATCAGTGCGGCGTATGCATTAACCAACGCACGGATGTGATGTAGGCACATTTCTTTACACGCAGCGACACACGTTGTCTAAGTCACAAGAAAAGGTGCGAGCGCGAATGCACGCAGCTCTTTAGCTGCTTGGTCTTTTTCAGGCCCTCTCGCAATGAGAACGCCGATTAGAGCTGCGCCGTGGACGAAAGCGTGAGCATCTAGTTCACTGCAGGGTATCTGTTACGTGATCTATGAAATCAGGCTACCGAAGGGGGAGAGGGGCCCGTAGGGGGAGGGGAATTTTGCATGCAATTGACTTAGTTTTTTCGTTCTACTCGTGCGTGCTATTGTAAGCGGCCAAGGATGTCTGAGCTGCCGAATATCTTTTATGTACTTTAGCAGTACGAGCTACGAGTTGATCTGCAGCGTTTCTTTTGGACACAAGGTACAAAATTTCGTAAAAGGAATTGCGTTTCAATCTCTTTTAAAAGGTGCAATAAATAAAATATTTTGTTTTTGTTTCCTTTGACATGTTTGGTGATTTACTATAAAGAAGACATTTTACAAATTTTCTATTCAAGAATAGAAAAGAGCCGGATACATTTAGGAAGTAATCTTTAAACTCCCAAACTTCCCGGTTTAATCTAGTCGAGTATTTTAATGTCGTCCTAAGATCGCTAACATTTTAAAGAAATCTCTTTTCGTTTTCTGTTTCAAATTTTAATAAAAGATGACTCTAGTTAACGTTGTCTTCTTTTAAAATAGCCTCCGTGAGATAGCATTTCGAAGTCCTCACCGGGGCTAACTTCCCAAGTCTAAAACGGAACGCAATCTCGCTGCCAGCCGTCCACCCGAGACGCCAAGCATTGCGTATACGTATACTCCGTTCATTCCTAAGCCTTCAGTGCGGGCGGGAGCTACGCTCTTGCCGGACCAATCAACCCCCTTCCTCGAATCACGTGACCCCGATATCTACGCGAGGGTACGGGTGGGAGCGTGGTCACGTGGCGAAAGATCTACGAAAGACCCACGAGCACGCGCAGCTTCTATCGCACTGTCTGCTGGGCGGAGATCGGAGAATATAATCTGCATAATTGTCCCGCTCTCGAAGTGCGCTCAGACAAGACTCAAAACAGGTCAGATACCCACAGGGCCCATTGCATGCGACAACCGGGAAAAGAAGAAGCGTCCGCGCATCTAGGGCACGACTCTCTCTCTCTCTCGAGGAGTGGCACTCCGCGTAATTGGGGGGAGACCGCGGACCAAGCCCGATCACACGCAGCGATGTTGTTATACCCCGTCCGAGCTGACAGTGCAGTGGAAGCTACTCGTGCTCCTTGGGACCATTCACCACATGTTTATCTTTAGCCACGTGATTACTCTCCCGCCCCGTAGAGAGTGGTGTCAGGTGATGCAAGGGAGGCTGTTGATTGGTCCGGAGGGCGTGTAGCTTCCACCGCACTGTCAGCTTAGACGGGAACGGAGTAGAGGGCCCGTTCTCCGAAAGTAAACAATCTTCTCTCTTTACCCTTGTCTCCTCCTGGTCTTCCATCGCGAAGGTTCGAAGACATCGCCGACGTGAGCGCGTCCCGCCCGTGCACGCTGCAGCTCCTGCTCCGGCATGGCGGCTGGATGACCATCTACTCCCCTAAGGTGTGTTTTTTTACTCCCTCTAAGTTTAACCGGCTTCTGTCCGGGGTGCTCGTTTTGCCTCGGAGTCTGTGCTTGAGTCGGTGTCTTGCCTTGGTTCCAGGCGGCCCACATCCAAGCTCTGGTGCGTCGATTCGTTCTCGAGGGGACTCAGGTGAGACGACATTTTGATTACTTTCCTGGTGCGGTTAACTTTTCTTAACGTAATATACGTTTTTTTTTTTTGTTTTTTTTTTTTTGCGAGGGTAACTTTTTAGCTTGTTGAAAACTGAAGGTGCAAAGGTGAGACGCGAAAACTAGACGCAAAAGTTCTTCGATCGAGAGGACAGTATACAGTGTCATCGCCACAACAGGGTTCCCTCGCCGGTGGTGCCTTACTACGATTGGCTGGCCTAAGCCATCATGTGACCTTAACGACAACTATTATCTTCCATTTCGTCGTTTACCCTGAGACTGCGGTTTTTTTTTTTGAAGAGCAGAAGTAACAGAAAAACAGACAGGTCTTAATTAAAAAAAAAACCCAGTCTCAGGGTAAACAACGAAATGGTTGACTTCCACCAGCTAGCCTGTACTTTGACTCTTTTCTCGTTAACTATTATCTTTCTTGCAGATATTTGTGGTATAATTATCAGTACATACAGGACTACAGTAACATTTGCCTACCGAAAGCCTGTTCTACAATGATTTCTCCAGTTGTGATTAACGGGTCTAGCTTAAAAAAAAGGAGTGTAGATCCTTTATTTTTCATAAAAGAAAAAAAAAACTTACCCTTGAGAGCCTTAAAATGAACGATGCAACCCCCTTAGATCCGCCCCTGTGTGACCAAAAGGGCACCGCCAATATTTTTTGTTTTGTTTTTGTTTTTGAACTAGATAGACTTGATTATGCGTAGCTCTTAGTCTTATTACTGGACAAACATCCAAGAAACGCTGTTTTCGCGAACATGCTAAACAAACCTGTTAATTTGAACGTTTGGGTGGTCGCCATCCAGTGGCAAAATGATTTGTGAACAGGCTGTAGCGCTATAGAAGACAGCTCTGGTCTACAAGGCGCTAGATTTCTCATGTTTGAGAGCGGTGTTTGTTGTTTGTTCGGCCAATGGGACTCTACCATTGCAGTTGTACGAACCGATAGGCAGTCTTCGCCTGTGGTCGATTGTCTTAGGTCCCAACTTTTATGCCCGACAGTTACGCTTATTGCGGCGGCTGCGGCTGTAAGAATCTGTCTACATAGCGTGAACGGTACAAAGTCCCCTCTCCGGCGTTCGCGGCCAGTTCTTAGGGTTCAAGTAATGCGCGCGGCAGGAAACGCTTTGCCCGGGACGAGATTGCGACTCTCCTCATTGATACCCCGCAGTGTCAGTTCGCTGGGCCGTCTCGCTGCTAACAACTTATTAGAGAAACGCATCTAACTCCAAGTGTGCGTTACATACGAGGCTCAGAGGTTACAAAAATTAATTAAACGAACTCGAAAAAAAAGTTGATAATAAGTTTTAGGTTTATAGCCGACATTTCGCCGATGGAGGAACTCGACTCCTTTGGTAGTCCGGTGTGAGCGGCCGAGAACAAACCAGTCTTGCGCGGTGGGATGATTAAGAACTACTCCACTATGAGAGAGTTTCCCTATGTCCCACTTGCTAAAGACAAAACTAATTTTCTTTTCTAGCTTGCATGGTGCTTTAGGCGGCGGTAAGTATAGTTTGCCTTGATATGGCGTTTGGTGTCTCCCTGTAGACAGCAAACTTGACTATTGCTGTACGACTAAAAATCTGAAGGTCTCTAACTCGCATCACGCAGCGCCGTTTACACGCAAACAAGCCGCCTCTTAAACGCTCATCCAGATTGAAATGCGCCGGGGGAAGCGAGATAGATACCAAGAACGGTCCCTGGGTTCTGCGGCGCTAGATCAAAGTTGCTAAGGGACAGTCGTGCGCACGTGTCCTTCTGTGCTATCCCGTGTTAGACACAAGGGGACTAACCAGTCGTTTCACTGCGCGCGTGTCCCTTGCCCTCCAGGAGGTTCCGGAGTATGTCCGGGCGGTGGCCGACTACGTGACCACCGAGTCGACCCTGCTGAGCTTCCGCGAAGGGGAGATCATCCGGCTACTCAGGCAGCGATGCATGGGCCTGGACAAAGGTCAGTGCAACGACGACAGCGACTCTTTCCTTGCCTTCAAAGCCGCAGTCGTCCCGCTTCAAACGTGGTGCGAAAGACACGGTTCTCGCAGCGAACATTGTGACAGAATTATCTTCGAAGATACATATGTGCGCAGATAATTCTTCATGCACATGTAGGCTTCGAACATGTCTAAAAACATTTTTTTTTACATGACCAATGTAACAGGACCGCCGTATAAGAAAGATGCACTTCCCAGACAGTGTCTTCAGACTCTTTTGAATGGCGTATACCTCGTAACTGCGGCTTAAAGAAACAAGACTTTTTTTTGTGTGTGTGTGCCTATAGTGTGCGTTCAAATGAGGCAACAGAACCTCGTTCACAATCAGCCTACGCCTTTACTTTGTTCTTCCTCGTGCAACAGGCATAGGCACTCTTGCTTACACGCGGGGGGTCTTCCGACAGAAAACGTGGATTTAAAGAAGGCTCTCATTAAGAAGTTTACAGTAGATCGTCCCGATGACTCCAATAACGATACTCGGGACTCCGCCGCCGCCTCCGCATCTGCGCTGCATCCTATCGTTATCGGGCGTCCTTGGGGAGTTTTAGGGAACCGTTTTCGCACATCCGGTACGAACTGCGCATGCGCTACCGTAGAAGACTCTCACATGCGCAATTCGTACCGGACTGCCCACCGCACCGTATCGGATGGGCAAAAACGGTTCCCTAAAACGCTGTCTTATTGGGGTTACCGGAACGATCTGCTAGAACCATATATAGGGATAGAAAGCTTTTGGAGGCGACGACGCCGCCACAGGTGAAGCCAGAAGTGTGGAGGGACAAGCCCCCAACGATGACCAAAACCAGAACTGTTTCGGTCACCCTCGGGAGCGCCTCAGGGCGTCACAGCTGTACTTCACACTTGAAAAAAAAAACACAAATTTAAATGATAAGACTGTGCGTATAAGTTTCCAATAGGTGCCGCCGTTGCTGCGCTTACCTCACCTGCGTTGACACTTGCCAGCTATAGACCCTTTCCGGAATTAGGTCTGGCCACTTTGATCACTATCATCGTCTGAAAAATGGCATATGTGCCTTACTAATTGCGGCCTTCCGTTTAGTGATGAAGGAAGAAGTTAAAGATGCTTCCAAGCAGATGATTCGAGGCCTATACATTCTAGACGTTAGCGCGACGTGAAACAGGAGTTGGATGCAAGAGCTGCATAAGCGTTCATTTCTAACTCGGGCCCAGTCAATCTGTTAGTAGCACACACTCGGCTTCAAAGACCCATGATGTATAGAACTTTATCAAGGCGTCTATGTGGGTTGGCGCTTCGTTCTAACTGGTTGCATCTTTTTCGCAATTGACATTGAAAGAGATTGAAAAAGAACTGTACAGTGAGGTGCACATTCTCGTTTACCGTTGACTTGCGAAAGTGACGGTGCCCCATAAGATACTGCAGACCACAGGTCCATTGTCGCCATTAGTACGGTAAAAGTTAAACTGCCATTTGAGTCACCAGATGGCACTGAATTCCGGACACGGTCTACTGCACGCCACAACGACCCGTCGTGATGGGTGTAGCCCGAAACAACCCATTCCCGTTTGAACCCGTCCCGTTTTGACCCATTCCCGAAACGACCTTCCCGTTTGAACCCGTCCCGTTTCGACCCATTCCCGAAACAACCTTCCCGTTTGAACCTGTCCCGTTTCAACCCGTTCCCGAAACGCCCTTCATATTTGAACCCGTAGCCAAGACATAGTTTACGTTTGAATTCGTCCCGTTTGAACCCGTTAATTGGTAGAAAACCCCGCGCATCTCAACCTCTTCGCAAAAAGTGTCCATCGTTCTAATCCTGGTTTGCGCAGTTTTTCTGCTTAAGAATATGCCCCAAAATCATGTTAATGCAATTAATAAAAAGGTGCAGGCGAGCAATTCAGTTATGTTGTGAAATATTTTTGCTTGTAAACGTATTATTAAAATATGCAATACTTTCAGACAAGCTTCAAGGAAATATATTTCTACTTGAACCACTTAAAATGTTTCTTTCAAGATGGTCCCCAAAATGTGCAATTACGAAATGGACTATATACACTGCGCGACAACGTTACCACGAACACGATCTTGGCGATTTTTCGAATTTTACTTCGAAATGGTTTTAGAAGGTATCACATTTTACCGCTTAGGTTAGTGGCCCAGATGAGCACTTTGAAATACACTAGTAATATTGATGGCAGTCTTCTGATTTTTTTGTAGACAAACAGCTAAAACTAACAATCACTTGTTTGCGCTAACGGTTTCGCGATCTGTACAATAACAGGGAGCTTTCGTAGACCGTTTTCGAAGTCACGCGACGCTCCTTCGCAACCCGCTACGATACCCAGAACTCTACAGTTAAGGCCATCGGCGCGCAGGCGCAGTAGCGGCTTCTTCGTTGCGGAGAGCTTAGCGAAAGGGGAAACGCGGTCTACGAAAGCACCTAATGAAGTCTTAGAGTAACGCAGGCAAGCACTTTGAGTAAGCAAAAATTAGCGTTGCCTAAGTTTTTATATCGCGACGCTACTTTTAGGTTACCCAAAGCGCTTACGTGCGTTATTCTAAAACTTCCGTATAGTGAATGGGATACTTTTTAAAAGTGATAAATCATACAGGCTCACGGGCATATAATTGCGACTTCATTTTTTTTACAAGTTCAAACACAGAACCGTCGCGTACACAGCTAAAAATCATAAACCACAAAATGCTGTCGCCTTGGTTGAGGAAGTCGAGAAGGAAAATCGCGCCATCAGAAAGGCGACACTTCAATTGTGATAGTTCGCGGCGGTCACCTGGCCCGCACGGCACCACCATTTGCAAGCTGCTGCAGCGATATCTTTCTCAAGGATCGTCCCGTTTGCAGGTCGATGAAGTTGTATATGTTCGGGTGAGCCCTCCCTGACACAGCGCTTTTCTTACGGTGCCATGTCTCCGAGGTTGTTTCCGAAGAGGGAGAAGTGATGTGAGCAAGGAGAACAGACACTTGACACTTGAACCTAATCAACTGTTAACGAACAATACAAGCTAACCAAACGATGGCCGAAGCGGGAAGGTTGTTTCGGAAAAGGGCCAAATGGGAAAGGATGAAACGGGAAGGTCGTTTTGAAACGAGCCGAAACGGGAAAGGATGAAACGGGAAGGTCGTTTTGAGACGGGTCGAAACGGGAAGGTACAAACGGGAAGGTTGTTTCGGGAATGGGTCGAAACGGGAACGACCCGTCGTGATAGCAGGTCGCTTTGCACACAGCCGCTCAATGGAAGTGAATTGGGCGCACTTCTATCGAGCTGCCGTGCATCGAATAGCCTGCGTATGAAACGCGCATTTTGTTATAGCTATTTTAGTTCAGTACTCCAACACTAGTTTGTTTGTTTTCAAGAAGGAATCCTGAATACGAATTATATAGCGTTAATTAGATACACTTTATTTACACTAATGATTAAATTATCTAGGAATTTTTTTTAAATGCAATAGTTTGCACTCACTTTTTTTACAACATAGGGTATACAATCTAGCTTTATGACTGAGTAAATGTAACTTGAAGATAGAAAGCTGCTGCGATGCGAGGAATATTTACAGCATTCCAGTGAATTTAGAGAATTTAGCAAGATTATAGAAACTGCCGACAAGTAAATGTCTCGAAAAGTTAAATCAGGAGCTTGTTTTTATTTCATTGTCGTAAAGCATAAAACAAATGAACGCAATAGCGCTTAGGAGCACGTGTCGCAGGAAATCCGGCGTCGGCTTCGGCGGGACTAAAACATCCCATAATGCACCACACGCAGCCACGTGTGACGTCATGACCTTATCGACCCGCTAAATTTGGCGGGAGAATTTTCCACTAAACTCAGCGGAAACTTTTCCCACCAACTTTAGCGGAAACTTTTCCCGCCGAGTTTACCGGAGATATTTCCGCTAAATTTATCCGGCCGATGAGGTCATGACATCACAGCCAAGTTTGACGTCACGCGTCACGTGACATCTGACTAGACCACGCACACACCCTTGGGAACGAGCGCGGGTTTATATGAGAAGTCTTTGCGAACGGGGCCCGATAACGCTGTCGCGTTCCACACTTAAAGGCGAAGCTTAAGCGTCCTCCAAGGTTTTTTTAATGTCACAATCTAAAAAAGAGATGTCGCAAAGCAAGAAACAACGCCACATTCACAGACGGAGAACCTTCCTCAAGAGAGGTTTATGTGTGACTTTACAAGTTGCTCCACTGACGAGTGAATGTTCCCAGCCCAATTCCTGCTGCGCGTTTCTCTGTCGAGCAACTTTCATTTCCAGTCGGTGCTCCGTTTTCTTTGCTTTGTCCATCACGTGCACAAGGTCGAATGTAGTTTGACACGCCTCGTCAAGGTAGGGAAGTACACTCGCAGCGCGCTTCGGAGGAGGAGAGAGCGCGTGTTGATCGCTGTCGGGAAGACAGGCGAGGTTCGTTTAGATTTGGGACTTGCTCTGAGCCGCCACATTCAGCCGCACCCTCATCCGCCGTGCTATCACCCGAGGGAGTGTTTCGAGGCCGTTTCTTTTTTTCTGCCCATATGTACGGCGGAGAGTTCAGAAATACGGTGGGAACTGCGCACGGAACCAAGAGACTCAATTTCGCCGTCTTCGTGGAATCATCCACAGTAAAGTGGAGGGAACATTGCAAACACTTATCACTCAGCTCCCACTAGCTTCCTTTCTCGCTCGGTCATGTTCGAGAAATGTGTTTCAGTATTAAAATAACGAGTTGGGCTGTTGGTTCTGATATATGATAGGGAATGTGCAAACATCAACAATAACAACAACAGCGAGGACAAAGAAGAGAGGCCCAGAGGACAGGGTGCAACCTGCAACTGAATTTTAAAAGAACACACAAACACAAAAATATTAAAACCGCGCATGCGCAAAAAGAATACATTTAAATAATAATAATAAAAAGTTACGTTGACGGTTTTCTTGTTTTGAAGAGAGATTCTGTAGGGTCAACGAAGAAA